CTGGCTATGGGTTCTAATATGCAATTAGAGGCCAATGAGAGGGATGTTGTTCTCAGGTCCTCGGTTGTCTCGGCTCATGTACCACCAGAGTCCACTCTGTAATCTAACTGTATTGAGACGGGATCCACTCTGGGCATGAAGCCTTGGGAGGAGACTAGTTGTCTGCATGTGTGTGCCAAAGTCAAAATGCTTTACTGGTAAACCACAGGCACACACACAATTAAAAGACCCAGAATAGTCATGCCAGTGAAGTGATTAAGTTCACTAGAATTTTGTCTTTTTTAAATACAATGTGGAAACCCTAAACACGCACACATTAAGGCTTCTGTGGTTCATCCCGGCTTAATGATGATTAATTCTTGATTAGGAGGTATTTCTGTGGTGTGGTGTGAACTCTGTGTCGCTCAAACCCTTCCTGACCAAACAAAAGCTGCTCACCTTCCTGTCTTCCCTTGTTAATGTGACTACATACCTAAAATATTACACATACATTTTACATGTCACATAGTTTTGGATAAAAAAAAATGTATTCTGGTTTTCATATCTTGGTTGACTGAAAGACTTTTCTTGAATTTTGTTTGGCTTGAAAACTCTGCAGATTTTATATCAGACTGTAAAAACTCTTTGCTGCTTTTATGTTCATTTTCTACTACAAATCACAAATACATCCCAACATTCTAATTCAAGATGGGGAGGTTTTGAACAAGACGCAGGACTCTAATCCTGTCAAGACAAAATATTGATTAGCAGAGACGATGTTTGAGTTAGCTCTGAATCTCTAACCTAACAAACCAAGTCCATCAGAAAAACCACTGGAGAACGTTAACGGTTCCGAAGATTGCATGGAAGGACAGATGTATTAAAATGAAGGTCATGGGGGAAGCAAAGCCTAACAGGATTAGCACATTAGATGCTACAGGGTTCTTGTGAAAACATACCTGCAATAAAATCCATACATACCTAAATTATGCAGACAAAATTGTGCAGAAGAGAATGCATTGAAAACCACACATTTACCTATTTTATTCTGCCAACCTTGCAACAAAGTGTATAAATTCAGGATTCACCGAAAAGTTCTTTGAAGACATACAAAAGACATAATAACAGAACCATAAAAATGTATCTTCAATATCATTGTTGCTGGTTTCCAACCCCAACGTGAATAACTGCTTATAACTGACAGAATCGTATCGAATACTATTAAAAAAATTGTATCAGTAAGAGACACAAAAAAGTACTGCACAATACTCAACACTCGGCTTTTGGCTGGGATTCACCATATGGCATACAATCATGAAAATGGAAGGAAGTGAGGCAATAGCAGCTGCTATTGTAGCTAAACATCTGTGCACACTGTAAAGGCAGTTAACATGAGAGAAAAAAAAGTCAGCGTAATGAGTAAATGGTGTACATAAAAAGACATCTCCAAGAATGAGGGATTTTTAACTGAGTGCCAGACAAATTAGCTTCAAACAAGCCCTATCATAGAAAACTGAACTTTCCCCAACCTTCCACTGAAGGCAGGTCATTGTCCTTTGTTACTTTGCCATGTGCAGAGCATATGACCTGTGTTTTAGCTGCGAAGTATATAGTTAATTCCAGTCACGACATATAATTACTTTATGCCATACAATGATCCCTGTTGCGTGTCAGAGGACGGTTACATCTGCACATCACTATGCAGCAATCTGCTTGCTCCAACCTCAGCTATCTGAACATGCTCTACGCCTGCATGTGTTTCCTGTGGTCTGTCAATAGGCTGACAGCATCTGAGCATTAACTGCGCACACATGTTCAACACACAATGGACACTGATGCTCTCATCTGTCTCCTTGAGTTCTGAATGACAAACACATCACAGGCTTGACGCTACGCCCGCATAACGACATCATCATGTTATCACCCCCAACTAATGCGACCTTTTCATTGCCTTCAGTACATCATCAGCAACAACAAAGGATTATTGTATCATAGCTGAACAGTGCAGCAAAAGCCAGAACTGGACACAGTGGTGAAAAGCCAACACTTAAAAAAGTCAATCCAATTTAAGATACATGTCCCACAGAGGGGAAATTCACAATTTCTGCTAATGGATCCTATTGGATCCTATTGATGCAAAAATTCTCAGACCAAGTTTTACCTAGCACATGGGTAGTCCAGATATCTTTTTTTTTTTTTTTTACAAATTGACAGGCGTACAAGTATTTTCACTGATGTACCCACCAAGCTCATCCACAACCACAGACTAAGGAAAAATAAATTAAAATAGTATTAAAAAAATAAAGATGATGAAAACTAAACTACCTGCACAGTTAACACAGTCAGCAAAGCACAGCTGGTTGTGGTGAAAAGCTGCTATGGTACACTGTATTGCTAGATTGGCACATTTTAGAATAAGGTAGTATTTGAATGAGGCATTGAAGCTCATTGGTACTTGGCACCATAGAATACTAAATTGCATGCAGAAATCTTACCCAAAGATTAGCCATTTTTTAAAATGTATAATTGTCATTATTAATTATAATGATAATTATAATAATTGATGATAATCATAATAATTAAAGACGTATCATTCTGTGGTTGAAAATGTCCGCACAAAAGTTAATACCAACCATATGAAAATGTTAAAATACTTTGACAAGGACCAACTGACCAGACTTGGATAAATTAAAATTAACAGAATTGTGCCATCCCCTTGGCTAATAAACAGAGATGCTCTCTAGTTTGGTTAAACACAGCGAAGGAAATGATTTGCGGACTTTGCTCGAAGAGGAATAGGATAAACTTGGCCGGTCCAAGGTAGACGGCCACAGCTGCTCCGTCCATCCGTCACACTTGTGCATATCCACCATCCGCCCACTCAGCCAATAATGTGCTAAGAGGAAGATCTCAATAATTTACCAAGGGAGTTTGGCAGTGCATCACGTCGGAGCAGGAGTGCTGTCTGTGCTGATTACAAGGTATTGAGCCCATTTATTTGCTAGCCTGAGCATATGAGGTCAGTTTAACGGCTTCAATTTTATTAAACATGTTGAAATGATGAATGTAGAGAAATCCAGCATGCTGCAGGAGGAGGCACTTTTCTTTTTGAATCTTCTATGACCCCATACAGCAACTAGAGGATTTGTCAAAGGCATGAGCTAAAAAAAAAAAGCATATCTTTAAATTACAACCCTAGTCGAAAAATAGGAGCTTTGACAAAAAGGGAAATTTCTCCTCCCATAAAGAAGGAATACTGCATATTGGCCATGTCTGAGAGTTTTCTTGGAAAAGACTTTGAGGGATTGGATCATGCTTGTAATTGAGGACAAGTAGAGCAGATGCCAGCCCCTCCTCAAAGGGACCTCATGAATTCTGGTCTGGGAGTTATTCAGGGGATAGAAATTGCAAAGAATGGGGAGAAATTTTCTCTCACATTCCAACCTCGGGAGAAACTTATCCTTACAAAGGAGTCTCCAGGGCTGAGGTACTATCACTGAGCAGGTTGAATTCAAGTTAAGATGATGACATGTTTGTTCCTGCCACTCTGTTGTTGCCTGTGACACAAAACAATCGACTTCTGCAGCATCAATACTTTGTGCAGAACAGCATGCGACCATTAGACAACCTACATTTAACTGGATCTTTTGGTCCATACCAACATTTAACAGGGAATTAAAAAAGGGAACTTTCAATAAAGCCTAGAAACATCTGGCCGTAGAGATCCTTTTATCTTAATGGTTCAATTACTATTTACTTCATACGCCTCTAAAAATACTGAGACACCAGGTGATGTTCAACATCACTTATTTATAGTTGTAACTATGAACTGATCAAGGATTTAGAATGGTCCAGATACATTTCACAGTAAAAACTACAAACCTCGTTTCTCCAAAGGTTACTGTGCTTTTTTTTTTATTATTATTATTTTAAATAGAATTAAGCCTCAAACCTACAATTTGGTGATTCACATGAGCTTTTATATCAGGCATTTGATGTTTTCACTGACACACTTAATTGCATTGGTTAAAAATAAAGTCAGAAAAAAGCCACCTGAAAGCTACTTTTGTAATTTAGGCAGAATTAAGTCTGACATTTTTATGTCACTTACCAGCAGAGAATTGTGTCTAGTAATTTGCTACAGAGTTTGTAGCAGCTATTTGTTTCTGCATAACAAATAAAATGAGCGATGTTAATCAAACCTTGACCTTAGCAACCTTAGCAAGTGTAAAAACTTATGATCTTGTTGTTAAAACATGTCATTTATTTAATATCAGTATATTGTAATTGTATATCCATAACGTAATGCAACAAAAGAAACCAATTTTCCAAATGTTAATGTAAGAATAAACATCAAAAGTTGTATGGCATTAAATCTTAAAGGAAAGTGTGAGGAAAATAATGACGAAAAAGGAACAAGACAGAAAAGAAATGGCGCATGTACATAAAAAAGATAAAGATATTATGAGAGAATGAAAGGCGGGAGGGAGAGCTAGAGGTTGAGAGACAGAGCAAGAGAGAGAGAGAGAGAAAGAAAGAAAAAAGAAAAACATATGGATGTAATTGAGGGTCGATGAACTCATGAAGTCATCTCCCAAGTCAGGTTATCAAGCCCCAGGCAAAGAGGCTACAACTCTCAAAACAAGTCCCATCTTAAAACATGAGATTACCACAGGCTGCACGTATGCACGATGGTTTGATTGCATCAAAAAAGATAAATTAGATTTGTTACTTTATGTACCAAAGTTTACATGTTCGCTCTGGATATTCCTACACACTGAGGTTTGTGATTGACCATTTACTTTCTGTCACACACACACACACACACACTGCTGTCCTTCCCATTAGCCTCTTTGGCATGGCTACACAATGACCTCATCTGGAATGG